TCAATCGTTTCTCGCGCCAACTCACAAACCCATTGACGCCTCTTAAGTAGCCTCGGTAGCAACTCTACTTCAACTGGTGATGTTATGTGTGGTCGAGCGCCGAGCGGGGTGTACTACTTCGAATATGAAGGCCTCGTTGGTAGTGTGACTGTGAAGTCCAAGTCATTCTCCATCAGTATACCCTCTGGTGATGTTATCAGTAATGTTGCCTACTACATGCATCACTGCACTGTGTTTGTACCTGACTATAGTAATTATCAAGTAGTTGCTGCAGCGAACAGGCACGGGACGACAACCGCTGAGTTGAACAAGGATCTCTCGATCACTTACTCAGTCCACAACGACAGTTTCTTCGTGACTTATCCACCGACTACTTCTCTGAATCTCACTAAGGGTCAGTGATGATTTAGCGCGCCATCTTTGGCGAGAAGTAGTCCCGTTACTCACCATCACAAGTATCAGTTTGTATATAATGCTTCTTAGTCTATCTGACTGCTACTATTATTCGTCTTCCCTCGGCAATGTAGGCAAGAAGAGCCTTCCAATAAAGGGAGGCACTTCCGCATCAGCCTATTCATCTGCAAACTAAACTCCATTCTGATTGCATAGTCGGATCGATCGTAATCAAATTAGAAACAAGTGTGGTGTTGACCCTACGTGGGAGGAGGTGTAACTCGCACAATGTATAGTCCTAGTGATTTGTATATCTTGGGAGAGCTTATAATGGTGGTGACACAAGGTGGATGGAGACATGTGTCACACTAGATATCAGCTACTAATTGAAGTGAATAGCTGCAGTAGAAGTTTCTGGTGGCACCAGATTCAGTGTGATGTAGTGATATTAAAATATCGTGGCTGTTTTCCGGATTTACCCCGTTATAGGCTCGGGCTAAGGCTGATGTAAAAGTTTGCCTTGTTTTATTATTCAGTTGTTGTTTTCATACGTTAATACCATATACATGTTCTCATACGGAGGATTATGTGCTTTGTCGCTCGCTCTATTCCTAGCAGGATGTTCTGGCGATACTAGCAGCTTCGGTGCTCCTACTACGGTTCCGGCTACGTACACGACTAGTAGTGGAGATGATCATTTCATGGCTCCTACTACTTATTATCCTGATGGAGATGACGAGTACTGCTCCGGCAAGCCCGCTGGTGAATACTGTGGTGCTATTAACGGTCACATGGCTCGAATCCTTGTCAAGGAGCACGTCTTTTATTTCAACTACGAGTCGAAGGTTAATCTGAAGAACATCCCTTTCCACATACACAATTGCAAGCAGTTTGAACCTGATTATTCGACTGGCGAGATGGACCGTGTAGCTCGAGAGTTTGGCCTTAGTACGGATCAGCTCCGTCAAGCACTAACTATCACTTACAGTCTGCCCACCGATAGCTTCCACCTAGATTGGGAGTCTAACATCTCGGTTACCATGACTCATGATATTTGTGGCGGTGGGAACGAGCATGATCATACACCAGGTTATCATTATGATACAACAGGTCCTGACTTTGGTACCACAGACCATGATTTCTATCCTCCCACGATGACTCCTCATTCGGGAGGCGATGATGTGTACTGTCCGGGTCTGCCTGCTGGCGAATACTGTGGCAACATCAATGGCGATATGGCTCGAATCCTTATTGAAGAACACGTGTTTTACTTCAACTACAAGTCCGAGGTTGACCTCAAGAACGTACCCTTCCATCTGTACAATTGTGAGGACTTCGAGCCTGATTACTCGAGTGGGCAGATGGATCGTTTAGCCCGAGAATTTGGTCTTACTACAGATCAGCTCCGTCAGGTACTTACTATCACTTATAGTCGCTCTAGTGATAGCTTCCACTTGGAATGGGCGCCAAGTGTCTCAATGAACATGTCTCACGATGCTTGTGAGCCCGAGAATGGTCATGATCATCACGGTTACTAAATCATTTGTTCTTTATCCTGTCTGCTATGCTTAGTGAATCTGTCTGACACTTTTCTTGTGCCTGAGTCGACATACGAAGCACTACTGGCTGTACTCGGTATTTTTTCCCAGAGGTTCCTAGCATGATCTCCATGTGGATCTCATGGTCCGGTCATGTGCCACTGGTATCTTCTTGCAGGTTTTATCTCGAGGACCTTTAGTCGTCTGTTCGAGCGTTTCGCTCTGCCGTGTGGCCTCTTTTTCATTCCTTATCTTGGAACCTGGAGTTCTTGAGTTTTGATGAGGTCAAACTATGATTCCTAATAGCTGCAAACTCTGTGGTAAATCTCGAGTAAAATACGGGTCAAGCTAGAGATGCCTCTTGCAGCTTGATCAGATTCATTGATCCATTGCATTGTCAGCGCTGTTGGTGGAAGTGGTATCAAAGACACTGATGCCACTGCCGACTGCAGCAGTTCCAATCACAGTTGCATATGCAGAAATGTAAATCTCACTCACTTTAATTCGCTCAGGAGACTGCCTCTCTCTCTATCTTCTACACAATAGAGTGTAGCTTACTCACTGGAATTCATTTCGGAGACCACTGTAAGCATCAATCCGAGACGGTCCTGATGATAATCGCGGTCGCTACGTGACGATTCCTGCACAATGTGTGTTACCCCTCTTGAAGACCAAGTTCGCCGTTACTAAGTCCGATCTCGCTAAAGGGTCGGATATGCTATCTTGGAACTGATGCATATCTTCTGTCATTGACATAGTTGCTTATGCCAACGTAAAGGTCCCGAGATGGCATATCGGCCCCACAAGCGAGAGTTCGTTCGATTAAGAGTTACTTAGACATATCTCGGGGTGGTAGCATACCTGCCCCGCCTTACGGGATTGATCTCACCAAGAGCCAAATACACCTCTAAAAGGCGTAGTGTAGACGAGGTCGGTAGTTCCACGTCTTAGTAAGCATAAGTTGATCCGCGGGTATTATAAGCGTTATGCTCCGCTACCTATCATGGGAGGTATTCGGATCAAAGGAGAAAACAATGTCCCGCATGGCATCTACTTCACTTCAACTTCGAAATGCATCCACATCGATTGATACACGAAGAGTGAAGTAGGAGATGTCCAAACAGAGGAAACGTTTTCGAACCTGCTAATCGAGGAGAACAGTATTTCAACAACAGTTGCTCCAGCCATTTGCCATGTCTAGACAATACGTGCGCTCACAGTTGCGAAAGGTTATTGTGATACATTATAATTGGAGACACTCATCACATACAGCTGTAACGGGATATCTACTAGTTGTGGCGATTGTCCCATGGTCTTGCGAAGCTATATATATACCTATGAGGATATGGATCGATGAATTCATCGGTGATTTATAGTTCTGTTGCGGTCGTGATCAGCTCTGTGGGTACCTTAGTATCTTATACAGTTGTTGATTTCATTTCTTATCCGTTGTTCCCATGTCGATGTTCTCATACATTTGTTTATGCACCGTTGCAATCGCCCTGTCTCTGGCAGGGTGTTCTAGCGATAGTAGCAGCACTGCTGCTCCTACGACAGTCCCTGCGGTGTTCACTACTGGTGGCAAGGATGATCACTTCATGGCCCCTACAACAGCCGATGGTTTCGACACTCCCTCGTCCTCTCATGGCGGAGGAGATGATGCCTACTGCTCCGGTGAGCCCGCTGGCGAGTACTGTGGCAAGATTAACGGCGATATGGCTCGAATCCTCATTGAGGAACACGTGTTCTATTTCAACTATGAGTCTAAGGTCGACCTCAAGAACGTACCCTTCCATATATACGACTGCAAGGACTTCGAGCCCGATTATTCCAGTGGAGCGATGGACAGTGTGGCCGAAGAATTTGGCCTTACTACGGATCAGCTCCGTCAAATACTTACTATCACTTACAGCCTCTCTAGTGATAGCTTCCACTTGGACTGGAAGCCGAAAGTTTCGGTAAGCATGACTCATGATGCTTGCGAACCCGAGAACAGTAAGAAACATCATGGTTACTAAGTGTTCGTGTTTTGTGCTATCTGTCCTCATCCCGATCTGTCTGTGATTTATTCATGTGTCGGCTTAGACACTACTGGCAGGCAGCTTCGGCTGTACTGCTGTTTTTCTTTGAGGTGTGTAGTTCGGCTACTGCGTGGATCGTACAGTGCTACCATGTGTCACTGATGCATCCATCACATCGTTCATTTGTAGGACTTCTACCATTTGAGCGTTATGCTCTGCCGTGTGGCCCCGCTCCTCTTTCTTTATATTGGACAATAAGAGTCGCTGAGTTTGAGTGGTTCGATTCATCTTATAGGCTCGCCATGGTGGGGAAACTCAGTATGTTCTGAGTGCTAGCAGTTAGCCAATGCCGGTTGGATTTCCGGGGTCCACACGCCGTAACATTTTCGATTGGATACCAGCTTGGCCTCTCTTAGCGCGTGCAGGAAGTTTTGAATGGCGTAGGACGCAATGCAATGCATTGAATGCATTTTATGCGAGCACCAGCTGCCGCCACCTGATTGACATAGTCTCCGCAAGTTGCGGACCGCAACGAGTCGATAAATTGCTAACTTGAATGGTTAACGCTCCAGATGTAGCGAGAACCTCCATCCCAACCCACACCCCATTATCAGACTTTTCTCCCAATTCGAATCGCGATTAAGATATAGACAAGCTGTACTTTGCGCATGCGTGCATTCGAGGTTCTGTTCTGATTCTCATTCGACTTTGGTTCATCGGAACCACCCTGATGTATACGAGTCATGGATAGGAATGTCCCATGGAAACACTGAATCAGCCGATTCCAGTCCATCTCCAACCGTTCCATTGAGACTCTCTTTGTGCTCGGTGCACTGGCGCGCGGCACAAAGCTTGTCTCCTCTGAATTAAGCTATACACTGCAACGCTCTTATACTGCGGATCCTTTCCACTCTACCAATAGCCTATATCAACATGAAGTTCATCGCTGCCGTTGCCAGTGCCGTCGTTGCCGTCTCCCTCACCGGATGCAGCTCTGATGATAGCACCACTACTTCCGCTCCCGCAACCACTGTGGCCCCTACTACTGGCTTCCTTCAGCCTACCACCAGTGCCCCTACTGGTTCTGTCACCTGTCAGGCGCCCACTGGCAAGTACTGTGGTAGTTTCATGGGTCAGTCGGCTGATGTTACTATCAACAATGGCAAGTTCTCGATGAACCTCGCTGGTCAGATGTCCTGTGATGACGTCCCTTTCACCATGTCTTCTGATTGCTCTGCTCTTGTCCTTGACTCGACTAATCCCTCGTACGAGGCCATGGCCAAGTCTGCTCAAATGGAGACTTCGATGTTGTCGCAGATGATGTTGTGTGATTACAACTCTACTTCCAACGTCTTCACTCTCGATGTTACTCAGATTTGTGGTCACTCTTTGGATATGACTCCCGATCAGTGTTCCAACTAAGAGTTCAGTCGGTTGTGATCTCTGCCTTCGCAGTACCTTTTCTATTCTTCCCTCCTCCTGTTATTTATTCCAGTTGGCGCGTTCTTCGCGCTTTGCAGTCGCAGCATTGTACATTGTATATTGACAGTTAGTTACTCGTCCTGTCAACTACGCATCCGATAGGGAGTTGTGTTTGTATTAATAGTGGTTGTACCAGGTGTGACTTTGAACGAATAGTTTATAATGGTTTGGTGTGTAGGGGAAACACACAGAGAGGTTCCAGTATGGGCTCATCAGGCGATGAACGCGAGTTATTAGAGACGCTTGAAGTTAGTTACCCAAAAAATGTAAGGTAGACGGGATATGATGTGATTGGAGCTGGGACAGGATAGGATTGCATGATCGACCAACTTTATTGCCAATGCCAATTTGTTATAAATTCAAATCAACCTTCTCACGGTTAGCAAGCAAACGTCGGGCGAAGAGAGAAGATTCTACTCTATAGAGTTTGCCTTTCGACAAGTTCACAAGCAAGAGTGCACCATGAACTTGAGTCGAATTGGAATAGATGAGAGATCGATTTCTCACATTACATCTTGTTGCAGTCCCATTACGGCATCAATACCAAAGGCCCCATTGCTAGGTAACAAGGTGCAAGTGGAGAGAGCCACACACAAAGGGATACATACATCACAAAGCCTGTCCCATGTTAGCTAAAAGAGCCCGTGGGCAGAAGATAGTCTTGTTTCCTCTTGTCTCTATCGTGCGTAAGATGAAGTTTATCGCTGCCGTTGCCAGTGCGGTCATTGCCGTCTCCTTGACTGGATGCAGCTCTGATGATAGCACCACTACTGCCGCTCCTGCTGCGACTACCGTTGCCCCCAAGGCGACTACTATCGCCCCTCAGGCAACTACCAAATTCATGGAGCCTACCACTCCCTCTGAGGTTGTTACTACTACCTCCTCCAACAACGAGCAGCAAACTACCACTGCCTCCTCGGAGCAGACTACTCCCGCTCAGAGTCAGCAAACCACTACCACCCCTTCCCAGACTACCGCTGGCAGCCCTAGCTCCAGCTGCAAGAAGCCCGAGGGTGAGTACTGTGGTTCCGCTATGGGTATGCCTGCTAGTGTCGAGCTCCACGACAACTCGTTCGATCTCGATGTCGCCGGTATGATCAACGCCAAGAACATTGGCTACACTATGGAGTCTGACTGCACTACGGTCGAGCCCGACTGGAATAATGCTGATCTCATCAAGTTGGCCGAATCTTTGGGCATGAACACCAAGCAGTTGTCTGAGTTCATGAAGTGCAGTTACAACGCTAACACCAATGTCTTCAAGGTTTCAATGGCTGGTGCTCTCAACCTTGACTTGTCTCCTGATCAGTGCAAGAACTAAGCAGCGGTCTGATCTTCCCCTTTTCGTTTGTCTCGCTTGCCTGTTGTGCAGTACTACGGCTCGTGATGACAAGAAGCCAGAGCTTTCTCTTGATGAACTGATATTCCGCGAAACTCTTTTCTCCAAGTCCTTGGAACCACCGCGTTTTGTTACTAGTGATACGTTACAATTGTAATAGATGCAAAGCTCCGTAGGTTCTTCAGTTGGGTACCGTACACATGTAACTCATGGAAAAGTGGTATGGAACCATTAGTGCTGGGAGCACGTCATCCAAAGAAATACCCGTAAGGGCTGTGGATACGTGAGTGGAATATTAGAGTGATGCTGAGGGGTCCCTAGTGGTTTACAATACACAATGAAACTTCGATGGGCGAGCACCACATTAGTCGACTATCGCTGTTCTTCCTGCTCAACATGATCACCCGAGATTTTCGAGGCCTCCTATCATTACTCCTCTGCGATATTAACAACTCTTCCGAGTTCGCCCACGAGAATTCGGGCAGTAAGTGGTCGTGCGTTGCGGTGCCTCCACTTCCCAAACCATCTCTGACTCTAGAGGCAGCGGGTCTCAACTACCGCCCGGCCGCGTAGCTGATTGGATGATTCCGCCGCCACATCAAAGATGGTGTCTGCGGACCTGTGAATCCTGGAGTTCTTCGGCCTCCCACTGGCAATCACTGTACTCGTCTTCACCCATTGTTTGAAAGCATGGCCATTATCACAGCAAGTGGACGAAGTCTACCTGTGCTCCAACGCTTACTCCCATAGTCTCTAATCAGCTTGATCCAGAAAAGATCTGCCCTCGAGCATCCGACAGTAGGATAGGTTCCTGGTCAGGAACATCGATCGAGGCCGCCCATCGCAGCCTGTCCATCCAATGATTGATGCTATACGGCAAAGTATCCGCCCATCTTGATCATGATTATCATCGAATCCGCTCCTTTACAATGGGGAGGTTTTGCGGACCAAGATTAGCCTCCTTAGCCCCAATATGTTGGTACATTTAACGTCGCGATGGCCCATTCCACAGTCATGGAGGAATTGAAGGGCGCAGAGTAGTTGGGCTGTCCATCGAACCGAGCAGTGGTTGAAGGCGCTCAGCACGGACGGATTTCTGCTGATCAAAGTACTGATAATAACATGCTTGAATGGATGGCGGTCAGAAGGCGAGAGGGTGAGTGAGATCGGCAATAGCAGCCTATCAGTGGACCAATCTGAACCGTACCGGAGTGGTACATCGTTCCAGAGCTACCACTGCCACTAGGCGAGGGAGCTGCCGTTGCTACGGACTGAGTGAGCGTAGGACTCCAAAAACGCTCCCATCATCTCAGAGACGAGACACACTGTACGGTAGACGGGCCGGCATCAGAGCACCTGATGTAGTCAGGGAGTGGTATGGTGCTGGGGGACAGTAGCGCCTCAAACAACGATAAAAAGAGATCGTGTAGAGGCAAAAGTATGAGCTCTCGAAGGATGGACCAGTCGAGATCACTGGAGCTGGCTTGGTCGGCATGGGAGGTATCGAAAAAATCGTCAAGCCGTTGGAGTACCGCTCGAGGACTGTCTGCCTGCTACCACCCAGCTGTATGACCCCTCAGATTACGACGACCACTAGTGAAGAGTAGTGACGGCAGCAGTACCTGGTCTAGTGGTCTTTCGTACTGAAGTCAACAAGGCATGCATGCAGGTTCGCTACTGTAGCAGGGCACCCAGTTCTTTGAAACGTGCCTAGTCATTGCCACCGTCATTGTAGAATCATCGACTCCTCCCCTTGTTTCGAGCGAGGGACGGCATAGGAATATCCGATGGCCGCGTGATCATGTAGTCTCTATCTAACTTGCCAGCTGCGAGATCATCCGAGTCAAAGCAAATGGGAGGCGACGGTACGCCATGCCGAAAGCGCTGATGCTTATAGCAGTTGCCTGACGATATTACTTGCTACGAGACGTGGCGTATTCCTGATGCCAACCAAAATCAAGGCTGGCGTAGATCTTGTGGAAAGTCCTGTAAACGCGCCTCTTTAAGTAGCGACTCACCTGTATCTCGAAGGTCCCTCGGTAAATAACGGCTGTTGATGGAGACGCAAGTCAGCATGCGGATTGTCGCGTCGCTTCGCTAGCAATTGCGCTGCAGAGATGAAACCGTGAGGCGATCGGATCTTCCCCTAGTTCCGTATATCATGGGATAATCAAGGTAAGGAGGAACCTGTTTAGCCAACTACAGATGGTCACTCAGACCCTGCGAAACTGAGAGTCATTCCCTGATCGGTATTTCTAGGGTCGGTTCGTACCGAACTACCCTACCAGATTCACGCGACCAGGAGTGGGATATTTAACAAAATCTTCATCAAAAAGTGCAACTTGCGCTTCGCTCCGCTGTTATCGGCGCGGTGTCGCATAAAAATCCTCAGGTCAGCATGTTCTCATTGTGGTCTGAAGCTACTTTTTTTCTAACCAATGACTCTCAGTTTTGACGAAGCGCTCGAAGTCGCTAACAACAGGCCCAACGAGGGAGCATGGCAGTCGCCCTTGGCCAGACCTCATCAGCGGTCCCCCAGCATTTCCTCTCTAGATGGTATGTGTCTAGAGGTCGTCGAAGATGGCCAACTCAACCTCGACCTGTCCACCCCGTTCATGGCTGACATGTTCCTTGGGACGTCCAGCCTCCCCGATGCCATGACCCCTGAGGAGCGCAGGAAGGTTGCGGCTGATTTGGCTCCAACGGCCACCTTCGAAATGGTCAAGCAGATTCCTCGACAACTTCTTGAACACGATGGGGAAGAAGGTCAAGCACTGAGGCAGCAGCTACTCCGTGGATCGACTGTCGCTATGTTCTGTGCTGGCTACAAGGGCAAGAAGTTTATTTACCAGAGGGCGGCTGAGCTCGGTGTGAAGGTCGTCGTTATTGATGGTGAGGACTCATGGGCCGAGGAGATGGTCGCTGAGCAGATCATCGCCAAGTTCATCCCGATCGACTTTGCTGCTGACAATGAGGTCGTCTTCCAACAAGCCTTGGATGCTGTGAAGTCGCTGAAGGACGACCCTCTCGTAGGTCCTGTCGATGGTATCTGCACCTTCATCGAGCTAGCCGTGCCCATGGCTGCTAGGTTGTCAGAGGCCCTAGGCCTCCCTGGTCCTTCGGTCGCGTGTGTCGATATTGCTCGTGACAAGCACAAAACTCGTGATATAATGACCGCTAAGGGTCTGCCGTCCATCAAGAACTTCCTGATAACCGACCCGGCCCAGCTGGAGGAAGCCGGGGAACACGTTGGGTTCCCAGCAGTGCTCAAGCCTATCGCTGGAGCCGCCTCTCTCGGTGTCCAGAAGGTGACCGACATGGATGATCTTAGACGTACCTATGGTGAGCTCGTCAGACTGATGGCTGGACTGAGGGTCAAAGCTGGTGCCTTGGAGAGAGTGACCAGAGTTCGTGCGGACTCGGCCATTTCTGAAGTGATCGATGGTGATGGTATCAATGCTGAACTCATCATCGCCTTAGACATGATGCTCGAGGAGTACCTAGATGGCGACGAGGTGGATGTGGACTGTATTTTCTCCGATGGCGAATGCAGATTCTGTTATGTTATCGATAACGGTCCGACGGTGGAGCCTTATTTCGCTGAGACCTGGGCGGCTCTCCCTTCCCTTCTTCCTGAAGATAAGGTCCTCGGACTCAAAAACATGGCTCAGGACGCTGTTGCTGCCATTGGATTCACCAACGGAGTCTTCCATGTTGAAGGCAAGTTCACCAGTCGTGGCCCTCGTTTGATCGAAGTGAATGCTAGAATGGGTGGTGGTCCTACTAGACTCATCCACACGTATGTCAGCGGCGTCGACCTAGTTGTTGAACAGCTGCTTATGACGGTCGGTATCCCTTCGAGACCGCCTATTCAGCCCACTGGCATGTGCATCGCCTATTCTTTTGTTGGAGCTCCCAAATCTGGCGTCGTCAACAGCACGGAGTTTTTGGACAAGTTCCGTGATATCCCTGGTATGATCCAACTGAGTGCTCTCGTCCACGATGGAGAAGTTGTCGTTGGACCGGAGGAAGGCATGCCTAGCTGGATCGCCGAGATCGTCGTAGCTCTCAGCGATGGGCAAGAGGCTAAGGATTTGGTTATAAGGACTAGCACTGAAATAGTCGACGATTGCTTGTCGAATATGTAGGCGTCTTTCAAGCGGGTGAGCCAAGGTGGCTGCTGCAATTTTTCATAGTATGTGTATCGATGACCACTCATCTGTAACTACTTCAACTGAGTCGTCTCTATGATGGCCTAATCATTTTCACACCGTTTGTTGGTCTTGGGTTCATGTCTCATTCAACGCCGATCTTGAAGATTTATGGTTCTGGATGAAAAGAACCTTAACAGGAGAGCTTCCACTTCGCTATGGTAAAGCCTTTCCCCAGCTCCACCAGATACGCCTAGAGCGGGTCTCGCGAAATGGAGAGGATTAATATGGTGCACTTCATGTTGCCATCAGTAAAGCATACATGAATCCTCTAGGTGGACACGGCCATCTAACTGTTGGGCAGGATTTCGATTACCGGAACTGGTGTCTCGATCGTTAAAATCGATATCTCTGATGAAATTGAAGAACTCGGCGGGATGCACTAGTTTAACCTCCACCGCCGAAGTAAATCCATCACTGAGGGCGTCATTCGCCGAGTAGGTTTCTAAACGGTACTGAGATCGGATACAGGTATTTCGGGAAGTGGTGATGTTGGATCATGTACACACTATTCGTTGAGTGGAATAGGAGTATGTCGCATCCTGACGAGAGTTGTTCGTTCACATCTTTAGCATCCAATATGAGACTCAAACTCCATAACAGCATCTAGGAGAAATACTGATTAATTGCGACCGAGGTCCATGGTGGTTGTGAGCAGAGCAGCTAGTGGTGTGGTCCGCATCAGGTTGTCCATCTTATGGATGGGAGCAGCGCCGACCTTACACGTGAGGCACCGCCTCAGCACCTTGGAAGGGGTCACAGAGAATGCCATCGGTCTGGCTCACCTCAGCAAACTTCGTAGTCATTTCCTTCACGTTGGCTGCAGTAGCGAACGCTACGAGGACTACACCGTTTGAGTCCACCTTGGCGTCATCAGAAGGAAGAAAGCCGTCCCAAGAGGGCGTTCTGCCGAGACCGACTGCCACTGTCGTGATGAGTTCCTGCATAAACACAAACTCAGTTGCGTCGCTTCTGGATCCATCTAGAGCGAATGTTAGTTTGAAATCGTCCGCACTTGGCATCTCCAGACGGAACCTAATCAGAGAACCCCTAACACTACAGCCTCCCGCTTCAGCGGCCCTCACCTCCCTTTCAACGCTGAGCCTTCGTACAGGAGATCCACAGGCACATCATTCGAAGCACGCCTCCCAGCCCTTCTGATGGATTCTATAAAATCATTGAGCATCTCATCATCGTCATCCATTATGTCGGCCATACGAAGTTGCTACACTGACGACAGACCTATTATCCTCCCCTAACTCGATAGCAGCTGTATGGAGACCTGTGACCATGTAAGTCCACCAAAATTGAACTTCGAGATCAAGAAACACTGTCACACACACAATGACATCATTATCGTCATCATCATCATCATCATCATCATCATCATCATCATCATCGAGAGAGCTCCCGTTCTATGCTCATCGTGAGCCGCTGATCCGCCTTGCACCGCGTTATCATCTGGAAGGAGTCGCCCCGCACACCATTCACCTACAGGTCCATCCTCGGCCGTTGGTCCAGAGGGTACCAACCTCCACAATGTGATCGCCAGGTCGAAGGGCCTCTCCTGGGTGCTCTCCATTGAAGGCTCCCACCACACCTCCAGTGACACCCTCCACCAGCAGGTAGCCGGGATCGTTATGGTCCACGTCAATCCCCAATCGACCACCTGCTTGCCACTCATCGTCCCTCCAGGGAGGCCGCCGCCCACCTGATTTTTCAATCGTTACGATCCACATCTTCTTCCCTCGAGGTGAGACCCCTGGCAGAGGCTAAGCACAGACACGGTAACAATAGAGTATGCGGGTAGTGGTCGACTAACCCCTAAGGGCGGTGATGCTTCAACCACCGAAGTCTCCATACTCAGTTCACCACCGCCGTACTCGCTAACACTAGGCGGCGCCTCCCTGTAGCCCAATCCATCGTGTGCTTCAGGCCAGCTCTCGTGAGCTACGACTACTTCGTCGTAGCTGCTCGGCTTAGCTTTAGTGTCACCAGTCGATTCGCGATCGCAACAGTTGTTCGCCCCCATAGGGTGTCGCGTACCCAAAACACGGGACAAGCTAGGATACTTAGGCCTAGACTGCAACACGACGCAGAATGGTGACACGGAGGACAGGATTGGTACAACATGAGAACAGCAACAACAGATACCGTGTCACACTGTACGACGACGCCTTATGGTCAGTCGGAGGGCGCCATGGCCAGCCGAGCACTCCCTGAGCATCCGAGATGAGTTCCCTCGAGCCTCATTGATCTGACACAACGGGCTCACTGTGCTGCTCTCCACCACTGATCAGCTTACCCCAACGATCATGTCGCCCTTCCTAAGGGCCAGCTCGGGGCAGCTCTTGTTCCATTCCGCGATGCTCCCATCATTATTGATGCCATCAACGATCAAGTGAGAGCCGCCCTCATGTGAAGACATCCTCAGGCCCAACTTCCCCTCGCTGAACGAACTACCTGTGATACTCCCCAGTACAATAGCAACAACAAGAGCTCCGCCGCTGCTTACGTGTCCGGTGAATCCTTATGTTGAACTCATCCTCATCATCATCAGCCCTCATCCCATCTGACCGCTCATACCAGGCCACTCTAGCTACAATACACTCACTATCCAAGTTCCTCCTGTCCAACACAGACTCCTGTCCCTGTGCCCCTTCTAGAGAGTCCTTATCAATCTCGATCACACTACTCATCTGACTCAACTCTCTTCGAGTGCCAAGACCGGACCCTTCCGAGCTGAGACTCATCCATGCAGACGATGATGATGTTATTGAGTAATCGACCGTCTCCTGACAACGACTGACCCATACAAACCTGGCTCATATACAAGATAAGTATACATAGAGGACGTATACGTATGAATATATACTCTAGCCTCATATGCAGAGGGCCTCTGCCAGAGGCTAGTGATGATATAGCCACTATAGATAGGCTATATTATCGATACATAAATATAATCTCGTTACGAATAAAGCTATATTATATCCTAGCCTTATATACAAGGGCGCCTCTCGGACAGGCGCTCATGTACAAGACATATCCTCCCCACCGAGGGACCAGCGGACCCCTCTCACATGGCGCGTCGAGATATCCGCTCTCTTGATCGGGACTGCAGCGATGCTCTTATCCCTTTTACCACAACATGGCGATATCATGAAGGCTGATGTCGATAACGTCATCGTCCACAACAACAAAGGACAACTACAAGGTTGATGATAAGAACAATCCCACCTCTTTAATGATTGAATAACGCAAAATGACAACACAGTAAGGAGAGAACAGTTAGAAGCGGCAGTAGCAGCAACAGGATTATGCGCTGCTTCTACCATAACATTGTTACACGAGATGATGCCAATTGATAGGAATATGTTGTAATAAGGACTACACTGCAGATCGTGCTCGACTCTCCAACCCTGACTGCTGATGCTGTTGAGTTCTCGATGATCGCCCGGCGCTATCTGGTGAACTACTCGAAGACTCTCTTCCCCCATGCCCATGGTGATGTCCTATTCTCTCCGGCATCGTCAGCTTATCCAACTTGTTCACGACGGCTTGCTGAGACAACATCTCCGGACCGATAACTTGAATCCTACAAACTCACTTTGTCCGCCACAAACTGCTTCTCCTCACTTTGGGACTTGTGGACACCACCGCTCGAAATCACTGCCATTTCTAATTTATCCAACAACTTCACAAGCCTCGCTCTATTCTGGTACAGGATCTGTTGCACCTGAAAGAGGCCTTATACCAACCGCTCCAGACGGACCTCGGCCAACCCACCGCTGGCGCCTTATGAGGATTCGCCGCAAAAATTTTGAAGACATGGAAGGCTTCTACTTGAACCGCCTTAGAGCTGTTCCCAAGCAGTATCATGACCGACTTCAAGTAACGCTCCTCGTTAACAAACCTTACCATAACCTGACCCACACCTTTAATAGAGACAGAAACGCTCTACTCGCACAGCACATACACTTTTTTCGAATACCCCAGGGTGACCCCAGACGACTGAGTCATGCCATGGTTGTGAACAACACCACTACTAATGCACGCTCTACGCGATCTATCCTTCACTATAACTACCTTCATGAAAGGTCTGTCGAGTAATATGTCTCCCAATAACTTCAAAGACTGACGAAGAGTGACGTACTGCGTATCTCCCGATGACGTATCCAATAGCTCCTGGTACCTGAATCATCATCATCACTACTGCTAGTGTAGTAGCGAGCTCAATCACTACTTATTAAAGAATTCATCAAAGTTGTCGAGCAGCCAACGAACAGAGACATCCTTATGGTTCATCAGAACCTAACAGTGAACATTTACACTGCGCTCAGGGGCGAGCAACTGGAGTGAACTCTTCAAGTACAACCATTAACCGCGATAGTTCCTCGTGACCAAGACCAAGAAGTTTATCAAGTACCTCCTTAAGAGTCTCAAATCCGTCCGCTTGCGTATCGAAATTATGCGAGTGCATGACGTCAAAAAGTTGGTAAATCAGACCTGTCATAGCAGGAAAGGAAACTTCCCGAGAGAGTTCCGATGAGGATGGGGCCCACCAGAGTTGAACATCTGCGACTGCACAACATCATGGAATTTACACGCATCACGGATCATCACGCCAACGTGTATTGAGCAATCGGGAATACTATAGCACGACATCAGGCACTGATGACGAGGAAGACCAGTATCACCTATACCACTAACGGTGATTACTACCCTCATGCAATCCGGATGCGTCATCAAGTACGCTAAATTGACCCTCTCGTGGGTCTTAGGTGACTCCAATTTCAACAGATGCCCCCAGACCTGCTACGCCATCTACCATACACACTACTAAGCCTCAGCGACCGTCACCTGTACGCACGAGCGTCTGAGTTCAGGGCTAGCTACTGCAATATGCCGAGCAATCTTCAGCAGGAGGTTACTCCTGAGCGTGGTGATAGTAACAACAGCAGCTTACTCCACCACATATCATCATTACTGTAGACTCTGGTTGACCACTTTCTGAATATCCTCTGACTTCGGCGGTTTACGCGCACTAGTAACATTGCCATACTGAGCAGATGAGGATATGCACAATACTATTAGGGTCACTACCTGGGTAGGAGGACCGGCGTGGGTATCTGCCTTATGGTCACCAGAAGCACCACTAGTAGTTGGGATCACTACTGACGCTAGGAAGTCCTCAAGCTGAGGTAAGCAACAACAGATGTGAAGGAAATGTGGTAAGCCAACGACCGACGCTTACCGGGGCATACTTCTTAGTCTCAGTCTCTGACACTAAGGAAAGGCTCCTCTGAAAGGACTTTGACATCGATAAAGATACCTACGAAGGTCAGCCACGATACGCTCCATAGATCTCCTAACTACTACTACCGTCATTCCAGTAACAGAGTTGGAGTTTGCCGACTCCTCAATAACGTCGGGGAGACCCTGTAGCTCATCCGCCATCTGTTTGACCAACTCCTGTGGTTTCTGTTTCTTGTAACCCGACGGCCTACAGCAGTGGTGTCGGGTAACTCGTCACAACTGTCATGCTTACTTGAAGATGTTTTGAACAAAATTGAACATGTTGTCTCTGACTCCGATGCAAAGAACGCTGCAGTTGGTTTGGCAAATCTCCGAGAAGTGCGAAAAACAAGTAATAAATCCTACAGGGACCACATATATAGACCACCAATTTTCGAATAATTCTATTTACCTTTGGGTTCTCTTCTAGGCTCTTTCCTTGTACGTCTAGCTGCTCTGATAGCTGGATGCTAAGGCGACAACGATATGACGATACAGTTAAATACTTTTACACCAACAACAACAATAACTACTACCACTACCACAACAACAACAACAACAACAACAACAACAACAACAACAACAACCACAACAACAACAACAACAACAACAACAACAACAACAACAACAACAACCACAAAAACGACAACAACAACAACAACAACAACAACAACAACAACAACAACAACAACTACTACTACTACTACTACTACTACTACTACTACTACTACTACTACTACTACTACTACTACTACTACTACTACTTCAGTCGAAGGAGACGATGTCGCTGACTCCGCTCCTACCGAGCCTTGTAGAAGAGCTGGTGACGGACGGTTGTTAGAAGTACGGGTTTTGACCCTAACACACAGCCACAGTGACTTCTCAGACCAATGAGTTTAACTACCTTGGTGGTGCTAGTCTTTTACTAGCAGATGAAGATTGAAGGCGGTTCTTGTTGCTGACTGAACTGCTACTACCTCCTCCTAATGCGAACGAGTTAGAACCCTGACTTCTCTTGGCTCCTGCTAGACTCAGTGAAAGAGGTGGTGGCGGTGGTGGTGGAGTAGACCTCGGTTTGTGTTGTTTAACTTGAGCAGACGCTACCGCTGTTCCCGGTGTACAAGACCGGCTAATGCTCATGCGTGCTCAACAGCACCGTACTCATTCTTACTCCGATGAGATACATACGCGCACGCCCTAGTAATCGATTAATTCCATTTGTAGAGGTGCCGAGTGGTTGCGGAACTAGGAAATCTGACGAGATCCATAACAGTGCGATGACCTCATCTCGGAGTAGGGCCTCTCATGAACTCGCTCCTGACTCAGTTCAGGAAGTACGAACACCCAAGCTTATGTCACTAACAGGGGACGGGCGATGGCTGCCGTAACGTTTTCTCACTTATTGATCCACATGTTTGCAATTGGCGAGCCGCTGCTGGCAAGTACAGAAGGAGTTAAGGTCCGATGAGGCCAAGGCTAAGCACTAATTGTATTCTTGCTCCCCATCGACGTCATCTATGTAATGCAAAAAAGAAAAGAAGAAACACCGTTATGCTTAAGCAACACATGACCGCGAACGGGATGAAGCCTTTAGCTGATGTCGGGATCCTGTTCAGCACTATAAGGTGTCCTATAGTAAGTACGTTGATGTTTATATGACCACTACCCTCTCTAAGACGAACAAGGACCCAGAGACTTCCTGGCTTCTACAGTACCCCAGACCGCAGCTTACAGACGAAATCGTTGAAAGATATCTTCGGTCATCTACAGACCCGGACGATGATATCGCGGTGATCAGGCACATACGGAAAGTTTCCGGGAACAAAGTGATGTGTGAAACGACAGAAGGGTGAGACTCATCACCGCTATTGAAGATACTCACAACTATTTTACGGACATACTTGTCTCCTACCCTCTGCCTAAGCTCCTGTCGCCAACCTTATACCGAAGGCTGATAAGCATCATACCCAACTGCAACAGTGGCGATGGCCTATGAAGTGATTCTTGTCACGGTGCCTCTACCCATCGCCTGTATATGCCCGATGACCGAGTCGAAATTTCGTATGGCAGGCGATTTCCTATCTGTTTCAGGAGCTTCAGAGTTCTGGTTGTCGTACGTAACAGTATTTAACCCTTCATTGTGTGAGAACTGTCAAGCTTCATCGACACTTACGCTAATAGCTCATACTCGCGCCTTTCATGTAAGAGTTTCAAATATGCCATATTCAAGATGGTAAGGTATCTTCAAGGTCACCTCGTGCGTCGAGAAGTCCGATATTATTGACTTCCCAACACGACATACTCATCACCAAAAACACTTGTGGTAACTATTGCATGATGATTCCAACGAGAGGACGACGCTCAAACTGTCTGCTTAGAGCCGTAAAGACCACTCCTGCAGTCATCAAGACCATCACGGTCATGTACATAGTGCTTCCGTTTGTTGCATGTCCGCTCGAAGTCTCTAACCTGACCAGAACCATCCATAGGTGTCCTGCTCAACCACAGCTTACTTCCTTCACACACTGGGAGATATCCCCCATATGGTTCTCGATGCACCGCCGTAGAGGCATCATGGTACACACAGTGACATTGCGGGTGACCTTAGGCCTGTTAGCAGCCATCATCTTCAGCCAACGTTAACACAGCCTCTCGAGCTGCGGAATCAACTACGACAAGACGACATACCACACCTCTACCGTCTCATCAGCGCAATACCTAACTAATGTAGGGGAGAAACTAGAATGGTAGAGAGACAGAGAAGTAGAGATGATACGAGTACGCGATCATCAAGGCTTTTGACCCACGAAGGCGTATGATGACCAACGTCAATCAGTCATGCCCAAGTAACGTGTGCATAGGTCCCGTTCGAGGCCTCGAAGCTCTACTACGTTATTGGTCACCTCCAGGCTGCCGACGACAACCTAACTAGTCTAAGTTCATGAGAAGTAAGGTAACAGCCACTGACCTGTACGGCGCCTCCAATAGCCCTCAAAGTGCTCTTACACATCTCGGCATCAGCGAACATGCAGGCTATAATGATTCTCGAGGGGGAGACACCCTGAGCCTGCAGCGCCCTCACAGCCGCAACAGCGAGCTCTTGATCAGCCAGAACCGCCATCAAAATAACCACAATCTGACCACAGGACTTTGCAAAGACCATTAACGCTGGCGATCTACTCACGCTGTTCTGAGCCTTGGTCGGCAAATAGACCACCTCGACCAGAGGGGGACCCGACACGAAACTCATGCTTGAAGAGCCATCCAGAGCACCGTTGCTTCTCACTGGTGAGCAACATGGACTACCTTCCGTGACCACTGCCCCAGGAAGGTGTAGTGGAGTAGGCTCTGAATATCATTCGAACTAATACCACTCCTTACAAACATTATCCCACTACCAGCCAACTTGGGTGTGGCACCAGTTTGCAGATTACATTCACTGCCAGCCGCTGCACTCGAGGTTGGGGATCCTCCGCCGAGGAGCACACTGTGTGGGGCTAGGGAGCCCGAGGCGAGGAAGTGGCGTCGAGCCGTGAGCAGGGCTCGAGGGACTGTCAGCTTACCAAAACTACACAGCCTGCAAACCAAGGCGATCCCATCCCATACACAGCCGCATGGTCTACTACCTATCGTGTTGCTTCACACCAGACTCCATTACGTCCCCATACCCAATCAGAGAGGCGTAGACCACCGACTCACTGTGGTCGGGGGCAGGAGGCTCCCCAGCAAACATAATACCGTCAATATATCGGACGATTAGGTAACTCAGACGGTCGCAGTAGAAGAGGAGGGACTCTCTACGGAGCTCTCGAGGCTTCCGCAGCACACGAGTAATGTATCCCACTTCATCACTAGACTTCAACTCGTGTATCATGTACTGTGGTTCGTCATCATGCAGGCCCTGAGGGGGCCAGGACTATGACATCTGCCTTGCCCACAATGACAGCCTACCACATCCGCTAGAGTCCTATGGAAGCTGAGGAGCCCTCTAGCCATGAGCTGAAGGCGAATGACCTGTACTATGGCCTGGAGTGCTATAACGTTCTCGACACCATCTGGTATGATGAGGTCAGCATATTTCATACACGGCTTGAGGTAGCGCTCATGGGACAGCTTTATAGTACTCAAGTACCTGTTAGGTTACCACCTGGACTGGTACTGTAGGTAAGCCCATAGTACTTGGAAATGACAGAGTCTACACTCTCCCCCATCCCTCTAACATCACGGACGAGGCGTCTTGCCAGCCTAGTATCATCATCACAATGAATGAACAACCTAATGCAGAAAATGCATTATACGCCCCTTTTAACAGTGGGCGCTACCGCAGGTCGAGGAGGTCTCTGACTGCCTCCCAATAGATCGCAAAGATCCCTTCGAAGATTACTACGTGGACTCCCGAGACCTTCCGAGCCCTACACAGAAGCCACTATCTGTAGGAGACCGACACCTCCCCGATTCACCTGTCATTGCGGAGCCTTGACCGCATATCGTAGTGAGGGATGAAGACGTTTAATCCCTTCTTGAGGTCCAACAACGTCCTTATCATCAAATCATAGTCGAACTAAGACCACCACCAATGCACGAGGGGCTGCCGCTCAGACCTACAGCATCAGGATGGTCGAAGTTGTAGTTCTCATCGTTGACCTCAGGATACGCCCTAGCATCCTTGTAGAAGGAGGACTGATGGATGACCTAACACCATCCCAATAAGCGTGATAGGAGAGGAGAGTGTAGCACTGACGACCTCCAAATCTTCGTGTAGGTTGAGCTGTGATGCAATCTCCATAGCGATCTCGGTCTTACCGCTCGCCGTCCCTCCGGCAATACCAATCATCAACGGACCAGATTGGGAGCTTGTCGATGACGAAGAGGAAGATACCAGCGGGACAGTGCTCCTCTCCACCGGCGATGGCGCTACAGTGTAGGCAACAATACCACTCCTATTCACGCCGTTGCACATCTTACTAGCATCAGGAGTGACCACAGGGGCGATGACAGTAGGTCCTTCACCTGTTGTCGTGGAGGGCTGTGGCGCTGTCATGATGGAAGGCGAGTGTATCCAATCAGCACACTGTCAACCCATGATTAAGACAGCTCCCGACTCAACTCCCCATCAGGACAGAAGGAACGGTGCTTCAAGCCGCGTATTAGCTCGTAATGTTAACGACATAGTACCTTCGAAACAAGAACCGACATCCGGTACCAACAAGTCGCAGCAGACGTGCTGCTTAATGACGAGGCGGGCGGTCCCCTCTGGGCTGAGCAGGCTTGGCCCAGTCGAGCTTGAGAATGAGGTTATCGTAACTAATGACACCCGAACTGATCCAAAGCGGCATTGTAAGGGTCTACCCATGTCCGTTGAGTTTCTCAAGGGCCTTTTCAGCATCCTTCTTGTTGTAGTACGTGACGAAGGCGAAGCCCTTGGAAAGGCCAGTCTCGGGGTTGCGAGCTAAGGGAAGTGTTTAGTGGGAGAGAAGCACGACCACCGACAGGAGTCTCACCAAGATAGATCCTCTGGACACGACCAGCGGTGGAGAAGAGCTGCTGGAGGTCACCATCACCGACATCCTCAGAAAGGTTTGACACACTGAGCGAGCAATACTCTAGTGTACAGGAGTGTAGACCTACCGTAAGGTATGCTCATCCCTATCCTTCTGTTGATCGAAAGGCCTAGCACCACCGCCGAGACCACGCTGGTTGGGTGGAACATAGCGGCCAGTCGTGTGGGTGCGAAGCTATATTGAGACACACCATCACCGTCATGGGAAGTGTTGAGGGGTTGTACCGGAATAGCCTCCTTCTCAGCCTCTCCATCGGCCTCTCCTTCAGTTTCACCACGGAACTTAGTCCATACGCTAGCCTTCTTCTTGTTGAGACCGAGGACCTACGGCCGGTGATGGGACGAAATATGTGCCTGGCGCACTCCCTGTTACTACCTGGTCCACACTCGCGGCCCAGAACTTCTCCTGATCAGCGCCGGTCTCGTCCTCCGCGGCAGCGCTAGCACCAGTGAGTTTGCTAGGCTCTAGGTTTATCTCATCTTCGGTACGGTTCGCAAAGGTGCTATTTTTGCTCGTCTCTACCGCCTTTCCGAAGGGAGTCCAACGTCGTCGTCTGATGGAAGCACCCGTGCCCTCCACAGAGCACCCTATAGGTACTACCTTTCGGCCTCAGCCTTGCTGCACGTAACTCGAACTGTGGTGACCTTAACGACTCTAGTGATCTTATACACGGCCCCATCTCTCTCCTGGTACTCGGTTATCGTCTTAAGGCCAGTCTCGGGATCTGAAGGCCCATCATGAGACTAGGCGGAAATCTTAGGTCGACTCTGGGGAGGTATAAGCACACTACTAATCCTTACCAATGTCCGTCTCGGTAGCGGGTGGTACCTCCCTATTGCTGGGTGATATGGGATCCTCGTCAGCCCATCGGCCGGTTGTCATTAATGAAGTCATACCGCCACTGATGATTGATACGTTGCTGCTTCACGGCGGCGGTCTAATCCAGCTCGCGCTCGCCATCATGATCGATATTAACAGAGCAGTTTCGTGGACAAAGTCGTCTACTTCCCTTTCGATCAGCTCTGTCGGGTGGGGCGGCTATGCCACTGCTCTGAGATATACATTGCTTTAGGATCGACATTGGTCTTCAGGCAAAGATACCATATCGGCCCCTCGAATGAAATTACCAGTTCCGAATCGATTTCACTAACAACGACACTTATTCCCGCCTTTCGTCGAAATTGGAGTTACTTCAGTCGTCCTACTTAGTGCTTCTGGGGGATCGATTGTATCAAGGAGGGTGGCATAGGTGCTCCGGCCGGCGAAATTGATTGTACTAAGAGTGGTGACATAGCTGCCCCGCCTGGAGAAATTGATTGTACTAAGAGTGGTGGCATAGCTGCCCCGCCTGGCGAAATTGATTGTACTAAGAGTGGTGGCATAGCTGCCCCTCCTGGCGAAATTGGTTGTACTAAGAGTGGTGGCATAGCTGCCCCGCCTGGCGAAATTGATTGTACTAAGAGTGGTGGCATAGCTGCCCCGCCTGGCGAAATTGATTGTACTAAGAGTGGTGGCATAGCTGCCCCGCCTGACGAAATTGATTGTACTAAGAGTGGTGGCATAGCTGCCCCGCCTGACGAAATTGATTGTACTAAGAGTGGTGGCATAGCTGCCTCGCCTGGCGAAATTGCTTGTACTAAGAGTGGTGGCATAGCTGCCCCGCCTGGCGAAATTGATTGTACTAAGAGTGGCGGCATAGCTGCCCCGCCCGGCGAAATTGATTGTACTAAGAGTGGTGGCATAGCTGCCCCGCCTGGCGAAATTGATTGTACTAAGAGTGGTGGCATAGCTGCCCTGCCTGGCGAAATTGATTGTACTAAGAGTGGTGGCATAGCTGCCCCGCCTGGCGAAATTGATTGTACTAAGAGTGGTGGCATAGCTGCCCCGCCTGGCGAAATTGATTGTACTAAGAGTGGTGGCATAGCTGCCCCGCCTGGCGAAATTGATTGTACTAAGAGTGCATGGAGCACTGTCGGCTTCGTCTTCGGCCCGCAGCTTCTTGCATTGCCTTGTAGCGCCTCCGACTCGCCTAGGGTTGACTCTTGGGGGGAATTGCTGTAGTAATGAGGCTATTGTAGCCTTTTGTTGGTTGATGCTGATGTGGAAGGCTCTATCGGATTGTGAAGTATCAGGTGTGCTTGGGTTAGTCACAGTGGACCAGCCCCCAGTTGGTGTTGAGCTATGGCTGAACGATCCCGACGAGCTGTCGAGACGGACCTCTCGGACAATGAGGGAGGCACTGGGTCCCACCCGACCCGCCTACGATACACCTCACTTCGACAGTTGAACCATTGGATTGATGAGGCTGGTTTCGGGTGGTTCCACTGGAAGATGATGATAGCTGTTAGCGGCATGTAAGATAGTCCTTCTTTCTGAATTGACAATTGCAGGACGAATGCATCAGGCAAATGCAGGACGGTGCTGAAGTCGTATTGATGTCTAGCATACTACAGGCCCTTCAAGAGGAGTGGCACTTCTCCAATTGGATACGAGGATCCCTTGTCGGCCTTATCTCTTTCCTTCCGAGAAAGCAGCGATTATTATCAGGTATCTGTTCCATTCGTCGGAGTGTTACTTGGCAGCCTCATGGCCGGCCACATTGCCGATGTCGTGGGCCGTCGACCTGCCATCCTCACATCGTAAGGACTACTTCTCTTCATCTCCGAACGACCTCCCCGGCCCAGGTACATCGTCATGGTCGTAGCAGGTGTGTTCTCAGCATTTGTCAACACAGTAGACGGCCTTATGATCACAAGGATATTCGTTGGCTTGTCTTACGGTGATTGCCTCAGTGCTGAGCAGGAAGTCATGCTTCCTCGTAGGTGTGGTGACTCCCAGTACTCTCACCCTTCTCTTGGAATGCACCCCTTCTACCAAACGCAATGTTGTTATTGCCTTCATCCTTGGAATGTTTTCTGCCGGCCAGCTGCTGGTCACGGTGAGTGTCTCTCGGCTCGTCATCCCCCACCCTCCCCCTTATAGGCTCTTCTATGGTGGTTGATGCCGGACCTGCGGCTCCACGGTGACAACTGGC